TGTTGTAATGTTTTTTTTTAATTAAATAGAGAGTAACATAGATAAGTTTTCAACAAATAATGATTTTTTATGATAATTATGCGATTTATTTCATCTCAAGTGTATAAATCACAACAATTATCTTTTTCTCTTATTTATAGTAATGTCAACCTTTTTTTTAGCATAAGTTAGTTAATTTTGCACTTCTTATTAACCCTTTAAGAATTTTGGATCAAATCTTATGAGTTGAACTCTTTTTGTAGCAAAAATAAAAGTGAAAAAGGTTGAGGACTCCAACACTTAAGGATCAACTAGGAGTAAAGAAGTGACTCACTTGAATTTTCGCCTAATGAGTCAATCTAATCACTAAGCTAGTATTGAAGGATAAAAATTATTAAGTCACAAAGCCATTTTTTAGCTTAAAGAACCTATTTTAGCTCAATAAGATTGGACCACAAAAACTTTCTCTTGCTAAACGAGACAAGCATTAAGTGAGAGACTCCTGGAAACAACATGGACATTTTCTTGCTTAGTGATACATTGTAGTCGTTGAGTAAAAATTAGTAACTGAGATAAAGAGAATCTTCTCTATTAAGACACACTTGGAGATTCGAGGAACAATAATCGAATACATGATTGACAAGACCCCTGGCGACTAGAAGAACCCTAGAGCTCCACTTTTTCATCATTGTCATCTTCAATCTTTGTGCTTCTCATGACTAGGAGTCACTAATTTTTTTTCCTTGGGATTGAATGTCGCTCAATGAACCTCATGTATTAACTTTACTTCATTAATCAATGTTTTATTCCATTATTTGGTGTTTTGTTCTTCTTTTAATGTTCTCTTGATTATTGTTATCTTGAGTTGATATTTTACTTATGTAGTCATTGAGAAATGCATCCTTGAGTTGTGTATGAGCCAAAACACCAATATTGAATATTTTGTTTAAGGATAAGCATAAGTTCAATGGACATTTTATATCTACCCATGTCTCTAATACTTGTATTTTAGTCATTTTAGCCGAGGAATTGGTGATTTGGGTAAAACATATGGTTTCAAGCCACTAAGCAATTAAGATTTGGAGATTTTTAGTGATAATATTGAGTAATGGTGTAAAATATTGATGAAAATTCTTCGTTAAACTAATACATGATGGTGAACTAGTAAAATTCAATTACAATGGTTCTTTCCATTTGATTCTCTTAATATCCTACTGCCAAGTGTTGGATAAAATTTCCAAAAAATAACTTTACATTTTAATTTCATATCTTTATTGCATTTTTTTTTTATGAAAAACTAACTTCAAACAAACTACAATTTCATTTTTTTGAATTATAGTATAGTATGCTGAGTTATGATTATTATATATTGCACAAATTTCTTTGGAAAACGATCTTATTTTAAAAATACTACATCAATCAGTCTATACATGTAATTTGATACACTTGCCAAAATGATCAACATTTTATAAGAACTCCTTTTTTATATCAGGCTGATTTATATAAGAGTAAAGTAATACTTTTGATATCATGATTTCATGCTCAAGTTAGGAATTCAATTTGGTTGTGCTCACAATCTTTGGATGACTTTGATCCTAATATGTGATGAGTTGTTTTGTAGATATATATATTTTTAAGAGGAGCATTGATATCTTGTCATGTATCAATATTCACATACATTTACACATTTGTATAATATTGTCCACTTAAAACTTAAACATTCATGAATTTATTTTTTATTATTCTTCAAACATCCTCATATCAATTAAAACTATGCATGTGTTCATAAATTTATACTTATCGTTATATTATAATAACGTGAGACTTTGTTTATATTTCAATATTTCATGTGATTAAATTTGATACTACTATAGAGTTTCTCCCACTAACATGGTGTTTAGTTAAAAAAAGTAGAGACTCAAGAATATTTATAAAGTATCTGGTATAATTTTCTCTTTTAATTTTGTCCCTCCTTGGAATAGAGCAAGGAAATACTTAAATCTTGTTATTAGTAATTAGATTTTCATGTTTTGATTATTTAACAATCGTTGTTTGAAAGTAAGAATATTTTAATGAACAATTATAAAATAGGTGTGAAGAAAAAGGGCATGAGAGTTTCAAATCTCTTGGAGAAATTACGTCATACTACCACTCTAACGCTTTCTCCATATTTTCTTGTCATCTATTTTGGGCTATTGTAGAATTGAAAACAGAGTCAATTTTTTTTCTTGATTTTATTTTTTTAAATCTCTTTTTCCTGGCTTCACTTTCCCTCGTTAAATTCTGTAAAATGTTAAATATCTACCATTAGTCAATCTCACTGTTTCTACCATTTCTCATTCAAAAGATGACATCTGGTTTTGTTTCTGTGTCACGGGTTTCACGGTGGGAGTAATAAGTGAAAACATCTTTGGACAACATTGACTTTGAGTGTGTATACATACATAGACCACATATAAAAAAAAATATAAAATGTGTTAAAAAATGAAAATAAAGACATAGACAAGTGTAATTAAGATAAATACAAAAAAAAATAAAAAATATGAAGGTGAAAATATCTGACCAAAAGTGTTTTTTTTACGAGAACTAAATTAGAGAGTTTAACTTAATTCTTTTTATAATAATCAATCTGGATTTTTTTTTGTATTAGTATTTTTTTTTTACACAAAAGTAACATTATTTATATAAGTTACTTGCGTTATACGGAGAGAATGTTGAGAATCTTATTTTAATTTGAAAAAATATTCGACAAAAGAATAAGAGTACGACTCATTATATTAACTATAACAATGAAATTTAAAAAAAAAAACACAAAAATTTAATTTTTATTAACTTCATTAATTAATTAATTAATTCTTGGGAATTAATTAACAGTAGTGTATTTGCCTCTTTTTTTTTTATGTCAAATCATTTGTGCTACTTATTCCCATTTAGCTTATATAGTTAGGCTTGTGCTTAAAACTACAAGTATTCATTACTGGACAGTGTTTACTTTAATAAATATTTTTCTACATGTATGTAAGAAAAAAAGTTTTGAAAGTGTAGATAACAAATTCATTAATGAATGATATAGACATAATTTTTTTTATTAAAAAGAATAAATGTAGTACTAGTGAATTTATAGATTACTTAATATTATAGTCATTTTTAGTATTTAAAAACACATGGTGTTGATGTTAAATAATATTGATTTTTCTCATACTTTTCCCATAATCGTTTAACCGTGTTTAAAAAATTGAATGCACTACTAGAGAATTTGTAGATCAATTAATTAATATTTAGAACAGCTAGCATTGATATGGTGGTGGGAGTTGAAATGCTACGTACGTATTTCGAACTTTGCTGGTTATATATTGTAATTTTAATAATAAAAAAATCAATTAATATTTAATAGCGCATTTAATATTTGAATATGCATGATGTTGATGTTAAATAACTAATGCTGATTTCTTTACACACGTTTTCCAGAATCACTTCACTTTGAAAATTATTAACAATCGTAATTCTTCCATGATTCATTACTAGAAATATACAAAATTTCTGCGAAAATTACTTAGAAATATCAATTATTTTCATTACATTTTTAAGTTTTAATTATATATATATATATATATATATATTAATAATAACATTTAATTATAAAAACAGACAATTCTATCGGTACAGAATTTTGATATATCCCATTAATTATTACATCAAATGTAAGAATTATATATATATATATATATATATCATATTGTGCATCATACTATTGATCTTACATTTAAAATATTCACAACTAAATTTAAAATAAGAAAAGTAACATACATTTTAATGGTCATCATATATACTTTTATTTTGTCCGTTAGTATGATAATGCCATTTCGTACTTCTAAACATCATCGTGCATTAGTATTGTGATATTGATCGATTATTATCAATACTATATAAGAAAATATAAATAATTAAATAATTTTTTGATTTAAAATAAATAAATAAAATAAAACTCTTGTAAAAAGGGTAAAAAGTAAATTTAATAAATATATTAAGTGCAGAAAATTTATAAGTTGAAACTAGAAGCTAAAATGTCACTTAATGTTTCAAAAAGACACCACAAACTATTAAAAAAAGGTTTGTTTACCAAACACTACTAATTTAATCAAATAGGATTATTTTCTAATAAATTAAATAAAGCTAGAAACTAAGCTACCTGAAATTATTTTCTAAGCATGCTCAAATTATTTTATAAATTTGCTCTAAGAAGAAAACTGTATGATATAATTTGTAACCTACATATCTTCTTGTCACCTATGTCTTAAAGATTGGCTACTAGTGCCAATGGAGCTACACTTGGCTCACATTTCTGACATTTACATAAAGTCCTTACACACATTGTCTTCCTAACGCGTTTTTTTTTTTTTTAATAATCCCTTCGAACGTTTAATTAGGGTTGTTTAAGATATTAATCATGCCATCAAAATCAAAATGCAGAAAAGGGAAAAAGGAAGAAAAAACTCAACTGAAAAATTCAAACAGACTTTCCCATCTCCACGAAAACCATCTAAATATAAGGAGAAGAATTGAAGATTATGATCAGACATCACGTGGGAACCCTACTTCTTGGTTAAAATTGTAATAATTCAAGAGAGAGGGTCATGAGTCATTGGGAACTCTCGGTTTTCAATATTAACTATACAAAATACTAATTAAAGAGATGTAGGGGACAGTTCCATGAAACAAAAATATATCTTCCAGATATAAATATATAATTGATTTAAGAAGAAAGTATAACTCGTTCACACACGACCAACTTTTATGAAAAAGTAAAATGTTATTTACAGTTGTGACTTCATACTAAAAATTAAATTCCACACTTTTACTAACAATCTTTAGTATATAAATATATTATATATGCTTTGAAGTAAAAGTGGAAAAATTAACACAAAATCCAAGTAAAAGTGGCCCTCTAATTGAAAATTAATTTGAAGGTTCGGAATTTTGCGTGCAATCTTTTGTGTTGATGTCCCTCTCATTGAAATTGAATCAAACCCCACATTAACAAATTAAAGTCACTTTCGAAAAGACCCTTTCATTATCTCCCTCACCTTTTCCCCATACATGAAGAAATGGATGGTTTACGGAGCATGAAAGGTGAACCTCAAGTCACCCTCTCTCTCGCTCTCTCTCTCATGCTTTAATTCTCCAACACGAGAAGTTAAATTTTAGTGAGTTGGGTAATTGTTGGAGGGTCTATTTTCAGTCCATAAATACCTGTCTGCTAGGCCAAACCCACTTATTCCATATTTTGCATCCTTTGTACCTGAGTTCAAGCTTTACACCAAAGAACTACAATTAGTGCAGATTCATAAGGTATACACATATTGGCCTTCTTTATTATTTTGCACCCTCTTACCCTAAACCCTTTGTGACTTTGTCTAGTGTTATCTCTTTTCATGGTTAGTGATTAGCTTATAGCATGCCAAAATCTAGATCATACCAAACCATTAGGCTTAGGCACATGTATAACTATTTCCCTTTCTCTTGAGTTTATTAATTCGGTTCGATTTGCACATGTATATATATATATATATATATATATATATTTTGTAATTATTGAATAAGGGTATACTAATTATTTGGTTTTGGTGATGTGTTTTAGCTTCCAACCATGGACCTTCCAAATCAAGCTCAAGAAGGGTCTTCTCAAAAGAAAATGGGAAGAGGGAAGATTGAAATCAAACGGATCGAGAACACCACAAATAGGCAAGTCACCTTCTGCAAGCGTCGCAACGGTTTGCTGAAGAAAGCTTATGAATTATCAGTTCTGTGTGATGCTGAAGTTGCTCTTGTTGTCTTCTCAACTCGTGGCCGTTTGTATGAGTATGCCAACAACAGGTTTTGCCAACACACCAAACCCTTCTTAAATTTCCAACCCCCAAATCTTGAAGGTTCTTCATTAGTTTCTCTTTGGTGGTGTTTATAATGACAAATGCTTAGTAAAATTGTCTCAAAATACGTCCAACTTGATATATAACAAGAGTCTATAATTATATGTAGGCTTAGAAGAATTTTTTAATAAAATATGTTTTTTATTTTTTAAACAAGTTTTTAAAAGATTTTTTAACTTGTATTTAAACAGAATCTAATTACATCCTGTCATGAAAATTTTGATTTAATATTACCATAAAAAGTGAGTTTTTCATCTTTGTTTTTAAAATTTTTAATGAGTTTAAGATATAAAAGAACATGATGGATTTTTCTGTTCAAAGTCAGAAATTCCTTTCACCGGAGACTCTTTAATTTTGTCCCTTTTGTTTGTTTTTTATAATATAAATTTCACTTTCCTTTATGAGTTTTGAAGTATACGTATATCATTTATCTCACACCCCAATTGCTTTTTTTATTCATGTTACCGAACTGTTGGTTTGAAAGGTTGCAGATCTGAGGTGAGAGATAGAAATAGGTATTAAGGTGATACTAGGAGTACCAGTAGCACATAATAGATGAAGATGAGAACAGATTTGAATAGGGTTACAAAGATTTGCAGGTCAGAGATCTTAGCTTCTTTGTGTATATTCTCCCATGCTCTTAAGCTTTTTCCAATCCTCTTCCTTTCTCTCTCTTTCCTCAACATGTCAACCATAAAACCTACAAAAGTCTGCCATATAAAGCTGTCATGTACTCATTCATCATCTTCTCTTCTCTTCCATCATGATCATTTTTTCTTCATACTCCTAATTAACTCAACAAAATTTCAAGTTATCTAGGGTTCCAGATTTTCACTATTCACACACCCAAATCTGTTTAGGGCAGTCAAATCAGCGATATATATCTACCAATTTAAAAGCCCCATATTGTAAAAGAGAATAATAAAAAATATGTTTTAAGAAATATTTCTTGTATTTATCACCGTACGGTACATGATAGTAATGACCCTATATCAAACCCCAAACCTTAGGGTTTCTGGGGTCAAAGATTTCAGATTCCTCTTACGTTGAAACAGATTTTATTTTCTGATCATCATTCTGTCCTAAATTAAATTTTATGCAGATGTTCATGAAAGTCTAAAATTCGTTCCCCACTTTTCATAATTTTTGTCCTTTACAATATGGTCAAGGAAACATGCTGCAGTTAGGGTTTCCCAGCCCGTGTAGTATTTTCAATGTCTATTACTCTATGCTTCCACGATATTTCTGGCAGAGGATTTTTTAAATATTCACGGAATTAGGTGGTTATTTTTTTCCTAAGTCTATCTGTTTAGGAGTGAGGTTGTAGTGGAGAAGGAAAGAAAAAGAAGGTACTGAAGATTTTTTGTTTCTAATAAATATTCATTATTTAAAACTTTTAAAATAAAATAAAATGATAATTAACATAAATTTAATTCCAAGATATTTTATTTTTACGTAACTCTTAATTTAAAAATAAAAAAAAAAATTTGCTCACTCTTTTTTCCCTTTAAAATTCCACTCCCTAACATTTACCTGATGTGTTTGAATTGACAAACTTCAACGAGATGAAAGCCTTTGTATGGATATCTGAATAAAACTGATCAAGTCATATTTATAATATTTAATCTTTTTTCAAAAAAAAAAATTATAATATTTAATGATTAAGTTATAAATGAACATGTATTATTCTATGGGTACAACTACGTGTTAATTTCTTTTTATTTATTTTTTGGTAAAATAAACAAACAAACCTGTTTTGTAACAAAGGGTTACAAAAATACGATTCATTGGTCACGAGAAGTATTATTTTTTTGTTCTTCACTAAGGACAACGGGGCATATGGTGGCATTTATTCTTCTGCAGGGTCTTTGGTTCATTTCTTTATAAAATATAATTGTAAGTTCATTTTCTTTCCCATTTCGTATAATTTTTTAAAAAATAGTATCCAAAAGAAGTTATATATTATGGTGTTTTGATGTTATTCTTCCTGGATCGGTTTGTTTTTTACCCTGAGTTGCTAAAAGTAACACCATGATATCAGATTCTAAGAATGGCTAAAAGCAAAGCACCTCTCTCTCTTTCATCTTTTTTCATTTCTTTCATCTTTGAGGAAATAAAGCTTCTACTCTTGACGTCAATTTTCTACCTACTCTCAATTATGTGTTTTGGAAATTTCAATGAAAAGGGAAGCTTACATTTACATTATGGCCAGATGATCATATCTTATGGGCTTCTTCGTACTCATGGCATTAACTATTGGTATTCGAAGTTTGAACTTTAAGAAACTCTCAAGAGAGAGGTTTTACACTCTTTAGATGTTAGAACATTTCAAAGAATGAGTTTGCATAAACAAATTCAGCTTCGTTTGGTTTGTGTCCTTAATTAGAAAATATGAGTAACAAAGAAAGGTGTAATGAGAGGGAAAAATAAACAAAGAGAGAGTACGATCCAATGAGAAGTTCTGAGTTGATGACATTCATTTTCTTAGGTTTCCAAAGTTCACTGACACAGAAACTAGAACTACTGGAGAAATTTTCTAATTAGAAATAGGGATTCTCATGGTTGTTACACCATGTGAAATGGGGCAGTGTGACACGTTTTTTGAACTTAGGAAGAGTTGTTATAATGTTTGAGCCAATGATATTGTTGGATTATGTGCCAGCGTGGCAGGGATGGCCAATCAGGGCTCGACAATATTAAGGTTGTGATATAGCACAGTAACTTTTTGACATATGAATAATATCGATACTCCAAGCACTAGTATAAGGAAATTGCGATATAATGATATACACTCTATATAATGATATAATATGTATCATTAAAAATTATTTTTATTTACACAATAAATATAATTTATGTTGATATATTGTTAAAAAGGGTATATAAATTATAATGATACATAAAATATGTTGTTAAATCTCATTTAAAATTAATATTAAAACTGTGTGTAGTTATATGTCAAATAAATATATAACTATATATATTATACTTATAGTGACACTTTTTGTATGTCAATATATCATGTATGTTTTATTTCTTGTAGTGAAATAATAACTTTTATATTAATTAATTTTATAATGATGGATTAATAATGTATATGTAAGAACGTTTATTCATGATCATCATATTGGTTTTTTTGTAATTTTCTTTTATATTTTGTTAATACTTATTTTTAAGAGTAATAGTTAAGAAATCAAAAGTTAAAAAAAAAATATATGATTAGAAAATGTAACATTTAATTAATGTATTTACATTATAATTTTTAATATTTAATATTTTTATAAAAATTTAATGCAAACACCTTTTAGTTATTGTCTTTAGCAAAATATATCATTTTAACTTAATGGATTGGGAGCTTTATGGAGGATTTACATATGTAAGAATTGGATTGATATAAAGTATTATTTGAAGAAATGTATGATTTCCTAAGCATTTAAACGAAAACTTCTTTTTATCTCACAAGATTTACAAATATGATAAAAGATAAAATAAAAAAATCCAGTTCCAACCAACAAAACCATGAGAAATTGACATATAGTTATGTGACACTAAAAATTATTTTTACTTACACAATAAATATAATATATGTTGGTATATTGTTAAAAAGTGTGAGTATAAACTATAGTGACACACAAAATATGTTGTTAAATCTCATTCAAAATCAACATTAAAATTGTGTAACTATATGCCAAAAATATATATATATATATATATATATATATATTATACTTATAGTGACACTTTTTGTAGTCACTATATGTAACATTTATTATAGTGATGGCACATTTCTAGTTCCACTCATACTTTGTATTGTATTTAAAATCAATTTTCTAAATCATCCGTATTTTTCTTCAATACTTGCTATAATATATAATATATGTATATCCTCCTCGCTTTGAAGCCTTTATTTCATATACGTTTCTGTTTATGTATGTCTCTCGCTTCTTTAATTTAGTTGATTTTTACTTCTGATATAGTATGACCTCATATTACAAATGAATCTTTTAGATGGTGAATATTGCACAATATATATACAATACAATAACCATAAGAATTGTTATATACAGACAAATAATACAAACGTATTATTATAGATATAATATATGTATAATATAAATCTATTTAATATATATTTACACATAATTTTAATATTGATTTTGAATAAAATTTAACAGTATATTTTATATATCACTATAAATTACTCTTATATTTTTTTAACAATATACCAACATATATTATATTTATAATACGGATAAAAGTAATTTTAATGACAAATATTATATTACATAAAATGTATCATTAGAGAACAATTTTGTATTTGATAGATCAACCACAATTAATCAACATATATAAACTCTAAACTATTTCATGCATTGGAGAATATTTTCAAAACTGATATATCATATTCGGTCTTCCATGTGATTGTGAAATGATAAACTAAATTTACCGATTCATGTTCTATAAATTGGTAACTTAATTAATCATATCTGTAAGACATGTAAATTTAATTTTCATGTTCAGACGATCTTGATGCGTAGTTGTTATGGCAAGTGGAATGCACATGGGTTTCAAACCTACAACATTTCTAATATGGTTATTTTAGGGTCCAATGTCAACGAACTAATGAAAAATATATAAGAAGTCACGTGTTTATGTCAGTAAGCTTTGTACTTATTTGAATTTTTGTTCTTAGATTTGTGATATCGATCCCACTAATCCCACTTAAATTTACATTAATTTGCTTGTTTGTACTTTGCAGTGTTAGGGCAACTATTGAAAGGTACAAAAAGGCATGTGCTGCTTCCTCAAACGCAGAATCCGTATCTGAAGCTAATACACAGGTAAATTTATTAAGATAATCAATCTCAAAGATAAATTGGTAATTAAAAAAAAGGCTTTGTTATGGTTATTTAGCTAATAAAAAAATGCACATATATCATTAATTTCGTAATTACAGTCTTTTTTAGCCAGGCATTTTATATGGTCAAATCCCATAAGTGTGATGGATCAACTTATGTGGAGTTTGCCATATAATGAATGTGCCGAATCCTGCATATAAAATTTCTGGAATCAAAACAAATATGCATCTTTTGTTTGTCCGTGAAATAATTAAAGATTAAAACTATGTTTTTATGAAAAAAAAAATCATTAATATGAGTATAAGAGGTATTACATGAAGTCCATTGAGACAACACTAATAAGAAGACTACCTAATAGCAAATTTTTGTACCTTTTGAAGGGTTTAAACATAGCTTGTGCAAAATCAACAATAACATCAATAAACATTCCAGCCTTAAATAGATTAAAATTTGATAAGAAAACTTATATTGCCTCGAGTAGTTCTACCTAGCTACATACATCAAATTGATTTTTCTTAGTTGCAATTCAAACCACATTCCATGTATGTGGATAGAATTATCCTTGTACTTCAAGCAATACTATTTATTTTGTTTGTTTTTTTTAATTTTTTTAACATGTCTTAAATTTAGCATATCTTGTGCTGAATTTAAGCAATTTTATTATCAATGATGTTTTTAGCTTTTTGAAAAAATCATGTTTAAATGTGCATTAGAGGACATGGAACAAATTAATGCAAAAGTTGTTTAAATAATCAACTTGTTTTGATCTTTGTATTCTTTAATAAATAATTTTTTATAGTATAAAAAAAAAAAAAGGAAACACAATGCATGACACTCCCACTTAGTGAGAATTGAGAGTTGGCTAAATCTTTCACAAGAGTTTAGAGAATGTTTCCAGTCTTTAAAGTCGCAATCGCTCTTAATGTTAACAATAGTAAGAAAAATAAAGTACAATGCTGTTTTTATTTCTAGTACAAACTTAATTGAATATCATCTCTATAAATTATCAAGACACTGTTTGGATAAATTTATTTAAAAATACTTATAAAATAAAAAAATAGAAAAAAAAATAAAACAATTTTTTGTATAAGTCAAGTTAAAGTAAGTTTTTGAAAAAGTTAATATGAGAAAAATTTTATAAATTAATTTTAACTTGAAAAAAATTATTTCATTTTTAATCTCTTTCTATTTTCTTCTCTTATTAGTATTTTTAAATAAATTTATCCAAACAAATCTCAAATCATATAACATCGTAACACACATGCATCTTAATTCTTCATCCCAAGAGAAACAACTATCAGTAACACTATCTACCAAAATCAGTTTTAATAGAAATATTCTGTCACACTAACACTAAATTTACTACATTATATTTCTCCTCCACAATATTCTGTCACACTAACACTATCTACCAAAATCAGTTTTACCAGCAAGAATCATCCAAATTGAGGAGACAAATTAGAGATATTCAGAATCTAAACAGGTCAGTTTCTGCATGTTATATGTTTTAAACAGGTTCTCAGACTTTCTCATTTGAATAACTTGTCAATGAAAATTTCGCATTGTAGGCATATTCTTGGTGAAGCACTTGGTTCTCTGAGTCTCAAGGAACTAAAGAACCTGGAGGGTAGATTGGAGAAAGGATTAAGCAGAGTTAGATCTAGAAAGGTATTATAAGCTCAACTTGACAATAATTTTAGGCATAAATAATAAATTACTGGTATATGGGTAGACTAATAATATGTACAATAATTCATGTGGGGATTTAATGATGTCGACACTTGAAGGTAAACCAAAACATGAATTAATATAGATGAGCAAAAGATACATAGCAAAGGCCAGATACACAACTTTTTGACTCGGTGTTTTTTAATTATATGGTTTGACTTATCATATATTTAGAAAATATACATTATTTTCCCTAGTATATCATTATTGATTTGGACTGACACACTGAAAATTTTGCAGCATGAAACATTGTTTGCTGATGTCGAGTTCATGCAAAAGCGGGTATTTTCATCAACTTATTTGGTGTTAATTTCTGTTTTACTTGTTTGTTTGCTATATATAATCGCTTGCATAGTAAGTTTCTCAAAAAAATTATAGAAGAAGATGCTAACTTTTAAGATATCTAAAAACAAGTTAAGATATCGTTAAAACAACTCTTTAAGGTTGATATTCACCATTGACGTTAAACTGTTTGTCAATGTACAATCTTACAAAACTTTATGCTCTTAAGATATTTTATATATATAACTAAGAACATGACCAACATATTCACCATAATAATTATAACACTTGAAACTTTTTTTTTTCTTTTTCTCTTAAGCTAATTTTTAAGATTGAATTTGAACCAATCTCTTTTAGCAAATACTTTATTTTAGACCTCAAACAAATTTTTCTATGTAATGTTATGAGTAACTAAATATATATTTATTTTGCTACAGAGAGACACCCCAATCTTACTTTGACCAACTACAGTTAAATATGTTAAAGAGTGAGTAATTAGTATTTTTCATATAATAGTTTGCTAATAAATTAGTTTACATTTTAAAATTTTTAAAAGATAAACTCTAAATAAAATATATTATAAGTTTATAACCAAATGCAGTAGGAATGTTAGTGCTAATCATTGTTTTTTGTTTACATGTTGATTAAATTAATGAGTATGTATATTCTATATCAAACTTCTTTATATACTAGTTTCCCTTTAATTGGAAAACGTTCTTGTAATTTGATTTTACCTTATTGATCAAGGTTTCTTTAATTTACACGGGTTGACGTATGTAAGTTTGTTGATGCAGGAAATTGAGCTGCAAAACCATAATAACTATCTGCGAGCTAAGGTCTCTCTTTTTCTCTAAACTCACTAAGAATCTATGTGAAATCACAAAAACGTGGTGCATGATTGGTTAGTATAGTGGATTAATGAATGGTTAATAAAAAGTTGTTGCACGGTGCAGATAGCTGAACATGAGAGAGCTCAACAACAGCAATCAAATATGATGCAAGGAACACTGTGCGAGTCTCTTCCTTCACAATCATATGACAGGAATTTTTTCCCTGTAAATCTCATTGCTTCTGATCAACAGTATTCTCGTCAAGACCAGACTGCTCTACAACTTGTGTAAGCAATATTCATGCATACATTTTCTCTTATTAACAATTGGGAAGTTACTGAAGCCAAAAACTAGGACTCAAATGATCATATATAGCAAAAGATATGCTTTTTTATTTTTTACAATATGAGTTGAACCAATTATTTGAACAACGTACCGTTACTAACGTATATAGTTTGTTTCACATCACTTTTTTATACTTACCTACTTACCTTTGCATTCGTTGAAAAAGTTTCATCTGATTTGTTTTCCCTTTTATAAAAGAGAAAATAAGTAATGCAATTAATAATATAAAATAATTTTATATTATTGTCTAATTATAAATTATTATGCATGGTGAGCTTGCTTATTTTTACAATAAATAATTAAAATGTCATATCTACAATTAATTGTAATTGATTAATAATGTTAATGTAAAAGTGTTTCACTGTATTAGTAAAATAGCTATACAACTTTTCATAAAAGAAATTGATATCTTCACACCTTAAAGGGGTGTATTGTACACCTTAAGATAAAATAGAGATGAAAAAAAACAAAAGAAATAAAGACAAGTATAAATATAACGTGATGAGTAAGGAAAAATGTTGGGATCAAATCAAAGTTTCACATAATTAGAATAAAAAGGGATGAAAATGAATTTATAAACACGCATATGCTAGCTTCAATTGGTATGATGTCTTTTAGATGATGATCAAAAACAAAACTATGAAGATATAAGTGTAAAGTACACAATATCATAATAATGTATAAACATGTATATGAAAACTCTGAGTACACAATAAAAAAAAAATAAAGAGCAAGAGGATAGTATAAAGAAGACATAAAATTTAATGAATGAAGAAAATCATTAGGATTAGAATTACCCTTTTCATATTAAGTAATTTTACATTTTATATAGATTCTGAAAAACTTGAAAGAATAGTGCGATGTTAAAGAGGTGAAAATTAGAACATGAAAAATTAAAGTGTATGAATAAACAAAACTTTATAGTATCACACATATAAAAGGGACAAAAATTGATGATATGTACGAGTTATGAGTTTAATTTTATATATATTAAAAGTATTTACAACAAGTATTTAAATACTAAAGCTACCTAACTCTTGATTTGATAAAACGAGCGATAAAATATAACTAAACTAACAAATAAATATCACTTGTCAAAACAACTTACTTTTTTTTAATATAAGTAATATTTATCAAACTAATAAATAAAATGAAAAATTATATAGACTTTAAAATATTTAATTATGACAATAGAAAAATCTCAACTACCAACAAAAGAAACATTTTTCTTAATTATATATTGTTTGAAGGCCGGACATGTAGTAAATTCCAGCTTGCTTAGAAAGTTTTTAAACCTTTTTCAAAAAAGGGTAATTAATCAATAAAATGTGCTAAATTATTCATTTGAAGAAAATCAGGGAAAGA